AGATGGTCCCCACAAATCACTATGGATCATTATGAAAGGTTTGGTAAGTGTGTATTTGACTCTACAAAAGGAAGTTTGATGGTGTTTGGCAAGTTCACATACCTCACACTGGATTTCATATGATTCAAGGTCAGGCATAAGGTTGAAAACAATCGCTGAAGGTAATGAAAATTAAGGTGACCCATTCTCTTATGCCATAACAAAAAATCATGAACTTAGAGGTAGATGCAGAATTACCAACAACAGGTGGGTTATCCACTCGAGTGATGACCTCTAAATAGTAGAGCCCCTCATATTCTTTGGCATTACCGATTATCGCACCAGATGATAGATCCTGAAACACACAATGTGACAGGAGAAATTTAGCAAAACAATTTAAGTGCCCGGTCAGTTGACTGATTGAAAGTAGATTATAGTCAAGTTTTGGCACGTGAAGGGCAAATTCTAAAATAATGGAATCTGATATACGGATACTCCTTTTTCCTGCCACCAGTGTTAAGGAGCCGTCTGCAATTTTCACTTTAATATTTCCAGCACATGGGGTGTAAGTGGTGAACAATTGTTGGCAATTAGTCATATGATCAGATGCCCCATAATCCACGATCCAGACCACTGCACTTTGAGTCGTCTTTAAAGCCTGAAGGAAAGACCCTCTTTTTGCCACAAATGCCATGGGTGCAGATCTAGAATTATGCACAACACTACATAAAAGTAGCCACAGCACCACTCCTAGCACTTCAAATGAGGGAAAAGCTTTCTGGTAGACTAAAAACAGAAGCCACAACCCAATATAACTCCAAACCCAGTAAAACAGGGCACTAACAACACCATACGACCGGATATAGCTCGACGACGATGTGCCCATACACCGGATTGTGCTGGATCTGGCCGGAGAGAGTGTGTTGTTGCCGTCCGGAAAGATCGTGTCCTGAACGGAGCCGCCACGCGCTGCCGAAAGCTTGCTGACACACTGAGCAGGGGTGGCGCATGTGGTATACACTTGTCACCATTCACCACCGCCATCCTGGGTTTCGCCGTTCGGAGCCTCCTGAGTACATCTAGGGTGGCGGTGAGATTCAAAACTCGCTATCATGTACTGTTCAGGCAACCCCATTCTAGCCATTCTAAGACTAATTTAATTTGAAATTTTAAGCCTGATACTCTGATATCATGTGGAATTTCCAGAGAGGAAAAATTGCATTATCTCATTTCGTTTCTAATGTACAAACTGGTCCTATATATATACATCAAGAGAGATAAAAGCTAATAAATACTAATAAAGCTTAATTAATGATCCTAATAAATGCTAATTATTCACAATAATGACATAATATTCCCACAGTTTGGATGACCCATTCTCCTATGCCATAACATAAGATCGTTAAAGTCCTTATTCTCAAAGGTAGAGGCAATATTGCATCGGATTCTAAACCAAAGATTACTCACGGTTGATTCATCGAGATAGTAGAGACCATTATGTTCCTTAACACTGCCAATAATCCTCCTCGATAAGAGATCATGAAAAATACAATGAGTAGCACAAAAATGAGCCTAACAATGAGCTTGTTTTGTCAATTTACTAATGGACAATAAATTGCATGCTAGGTGAGGCATATGAAGTACGTCTTCTAATTTCATAACATCAAAAATAATAACATTTCCTTTACCTACTATAGATGAGGCAGACCAATTAGCAGTACTAACAATTTCATGCCCACCACAAGGTGTATAGGAACTAAATAACTTAGAATCTGATGTCATATGATCTATGGCTTCAGTATCAACAATCCACTTGAAATTACTAGTAGTAGTAAATAAACCACAGTTACCTTTATGTGCTATTGATGCAGTGTGACCCTGCTTCTGATTCTTTTCAGCCTTTTAAATCACATCAAGCATTTCAATCAACTTACCTAGCTGTTCTTTGTTTATGAAAGGTAATGAGTTGGAGTCAGTCTTCTCTTGTAGAGTGTCATGAGAAGTCTGATATCCCCATGTCTTTCCCTTTCTAGGCTTCCCAATCTATTGGTTTTCCATGCAATTCCCAATAAGTCTCACAAGTATGCCCCTGTTTCTTGCAATGTTCACACTAAGCCTTCCTTTTTTGGCTTCTATGATCTCCACCTTTGCTAACAAGTGCAGCAAAGTCTGGAGATGGTGAAGAATTGGGAACCATACCAAAGAGCATCACCTTACGTCGTGAAGCTTCTCGGCGTACTTCGGAGAAAACTTCTCTTGTTGAAGGTAGTGGTGATTTGCTAAGAAGACATCCCCATACATCATCTAGGGGTGTTCACGGGACGGGACAGGACCGGAACACCCCTGTCCCACCCATCCCCAAAAAAAGATCGGGACTAAAGTCGTCCCGTCCCGTTAGAAGTCAGGATGAGACCGGGACAAGATCAAGACGTCCCGCCGTCCTAATAAATGAGATAATATCGAAAAAAGATTTGGATAATAACGTTCATTAAAATTTTAAATTGTATAATTTATTAAATTTAAAATTAAAACAACAAAAGTACATAAATCACAACAATTAATTATTGAATTATATTAATCACAATTACACATTATAATAACAAATACAAGTGATCTTTATGCTATAAGAGTAGCAACAACAGGCAAGGTAAGTGCAACATCAAATTATTGTTTTTCTACTTTACTGAAGATGTGTTAAGCTAATTACTCTTCTGAAAATAAAGCAAGAAATACGTTATAAATAAAAGTTATTAAATAGATTGATATAAGAATAAATTATATTAATATAATTAATATATTATAAAGAAAGATATCATCATGTTTACTCTATGTCATTAAAATTATCAATATAGAAAAACTTTAGTTTTAAATAAGAATTGCAAGTATTAAAATTATAATTGATATAATTAATACAAGTATAAATTATATTAATATAATTAATATATTTAAAACAAAAAATAATATATATATATATAATATTCGAGACAGGACGGGACGTCCCAATGGTAATCTCGTGTCCTGTCCCGTCCCAAATCCTTTCCTGTTCCATCCCATAAAGTCCCATCCCGATTATTTTTCGGCTGGGACAAGACTCGTCCTGATATGACCAGGATGATACCGGACCAATCGAGACGGGTTCTAGCTGAACACTCTTAACATCATCTAGGGATTGATGTAACCCAGCAAGGAATTGGAAAACACGTTCATTTTCAATTTGCTCCTTATAACAAGACATATCAGTAGCATTTGACCATTCCACCTCAATCATTAGATCGAGTTCTTGCCACAATGCAATAAGCTCCAACCAAAAAGCAATAACATCTCGTTCACCTTGTTGAATGGTCCACGCCTTTGTTTTGAGTTCATAGAGGCATGCTAAGCCTTTTCCATCTGAATAAGAGTCTCGCACAGCCACCCATATCTCATGTGGAAGGTAAGAACATAAAACTCTATTGCACTTCAGGTGTCATCGCATTAACGAGCCACGATGAGACCAGAGAATCATTGGTACACCACAGTTGCCTTTCATCAGGTTTGGATTCATCTGGGATTTTTGACAAGCCATCCAAAAAACCCATCTTACCTCTGTCTCCAACAGCAAGTTTCACGACCTGTGCCCATGTGCGATAATTGTCACCCTTTAGTTTCACAATCACAATTTGCATCGAAGATCCATCGTGGTTAGTAGTCAACCCGAAGGGACCACCAACCTTGTTCGAATCATATAGCTAGGCCCCATCACTCTATGTCATCAGTGAAGACGGGCGACTGGGGTGCAACTCATCTATGATGCTTTCTGACTCGTGCTTGGCGTTGAAAATCTCTAGACAAGTAGTCGGCTCTAATATCATGTAGTAAATGAGCAATCTGCTTCTCTTGTATATTCATCGAAGGGAGTCGAGTACATATATACAGGAATAGGGGCAATAATCTCTTCGAGAATAACAGACCAAATTGATCAATAGTTAAATAAGATAATATCTAATTAAAAAATGATCCTACCCAATCTACTAGGATAACGAATATTAATAGAAAATATTTACACATAATATTTAATAATTACTCGGTCTGACCACAAATTTTTAGGCAAGGGTTCTGATAGTTTGCAAAGGCATCAAAGAATTGAGCCTATGACTCTGATTATCCTTTGTTTTGGCACGTATCATTTGTTTTATTATTTTGTCATAACCTAAGATAAATTTAGAAATTATATATTTAGAGTATATTAATGATTTAGAGTCAAACAAATGATTTTATCTTCTTATATGTTTGTGAAATTGTTTTAAGCTCCTTTTTATATGAAGAATTATTTAGAAAGAATTAGTTTGGTTTTGAACTTTCCTATGACAATGATCAAGCTTCAATACCCTAAATCTTATTGTTTGGAAATGTTGGGATCACATATTTAATTAAATGCGTGACAATTTATTGATAAATTTATGTTTGTTCTTACAAAAATGATAATGGATGGCATTTTGGGACCCCAAGATGTATTTGAGAGGTAACATTAGTCATCCTGGGTCACAAGATGTATGAATCACTCCAATCAAAATTCTATAACCCAAGTGATGATACATTAAAATTTATTATTACATTCTGCTTTAACCTCTGACAGGACATTTTAGCCAAAGTGAAAGGTATAGAGTGTAGCCCTCTTTCTGTGGCCATTTGGCCATGCCACATATAGAATCTCTAAAATCACATGTCTTAATGCTTTTAATGATATATAGTAATTTTATGGATTTTAATTATTACTTCATAAACATGTTTTCGGGCCACAATGGGCCTAGTCAAAAGTTTTTTTTTTTTAATGATTTTCAAATTAGGGATCCCTCTTTCTTGTATTAGCCTCGTGTAAACAAACTCCTATACATAGAGTCTATGTTAAAACGGTTTATAAGGATCAATGCTACAATTATTACAGCATACGAACCAAAATGTTAAAAATTTGTATGGATATTAATCAGAATTAATACATATTTAAATTTCAAGTACAATTAGCTAGGTCACATGCTAGTTACCTGCAAGTCTTTGATATTAACATTGCCATGGGCAGGCCAGCTCGGAGGAGGTAGGAGATCTTGAATATGCCACGATGCTTCTGACGGAATTTTTGTGAACTGCTTGATCCTCTCAACAGATACCATTCTGTTCTCAATGAAGCAACCCATGTATATAGCCAAGAACAACACAGCATTCAAGGACAACCCATAAGAGAGGGATAAGCCAACATTTTCTGCATCATATAACAAGAAGATCCAATCAATCTATCACCTTGATAAGATTTTGAGAGAGAGAAAAATCTTTGGTCTAGAAACTGAGATCTGCTCAATTTTATCCAACCATTTAAAAATCTATATAATATGAAATTTCTACCAAATTATAAACAGTGCGACTCATTTTTCCAACTCTATGAAACACATGGAACTCAAATTGGTTTTATTGAATAGAATATCAAAGTACCTGGCTTTATGATATTGTTGGGTAACATAATCATGAACAAAGTAGAAATACAGAAGACCAAGCTTCCAAGCAATTCTAAGCGAAAACCCAACCACTCATTGGAACCATTGTTGTGGAAATCCATACGAAGATTTTCATTCACTCGTTTGACATTTTCTTCACAAAATTTCCTTTGCTTTTTGAATGCACGGATGGTCATGACCCCTGAAATGCTTTCTGAGAAGTGATGAATAACAGGTGCTTTTGTTATTGAATCCAAGCGAGTCAACTCACGAGATGATGAAAGGAAATAACCCTGCAAGACCACACGCACAAACAAATACAAGCACAACTAATCAAGGAAGACAAGATACACATACTTGAGACCTTTGGTTCATGCGAAGGCAATCAAGTCATACCCGATACCATATATTCAACCAAATAAGAGGAATCAGCAAGAAAACTGTAGGCCATGAATTTTGACATGTCACGATGAAGATGCCAAGTACTGTGGTGTAAAAGTGAATCACAAGACCCATAAAAACTGGGATAAAGACATCGACATTAGTCTGATCGGTGGATGCCTGCACAAATTTAAACCCAGAGGAAAATTAAGATCAATTTATATACCTAAATGGGACATGAGAATTTTCTAGAATATTGAAATCCATTTGGATTAGGTTGTTTATTAGAATTAATAGCTTGTAACAGAGCATACTTGGCCGTCGAGTGCTTACCCTACTTAAAATTCTTCCAGAAGGGGTAGTGTCAAAGAAAGACATAGGTGCATGCAGGATGCAATTAAGAATCTGAGAGAAGAAAATTTGTGCCGTCTTAAGCCACAAGATGGTAACAGAGAAGGATCTTATAATCAGCATGACAAGTGAAACTGAAGCAATAATGGCGTACATGGAGATGAATAGAGACGGGTTAAAGATTCGAGCTTCCTCTTCTGAGGTTTCATATGCCAACCAATAATCACCAGCCATCAAAGAAGCTTGCCATAACAAAGAAATGAGAATTACTCCTATAATGCCCCACCACCCATAAGCCTCAGTGAAATATAATTTATATATATGCAAGCTCACTTTGCCAGTTTCCCTTTCTTCATCTTTAATGAGTTTAGAATTTTCCTTGCTGGCCTTGGGTTGGTCAAGAGAATAACTTTCACCATTGGTTTCTCTAAAACTGGAAGTTGGCTTTGGAGACCTGGGAGATTTGGATAGTCTAGGGGAATTCTCACCAGGCATGTCTTTGCCTTGTTCTACAAGTTCCATGGATGTCTCATGTGCTGCTACCAGATCTCCAAAATCCATTCCAGAATTTAAAAGATCATTATACTTCCCAGATTGGACTATCATTCCATCTCTCATCACCTTTAATCAAAACATCAAAACATTATATCAATATTTGAATCACTCTCCAAGTCAAATTGAATGTTGAAAACAAAAAGAATAAAGAAAACTTACCATTATAAGATCAACGTTATGCAAGAAGTCTATTTGATGTGTTACAAGAACAACAGTCTTCCCTTTTAAAGCTCCCCTAACACATTCCTAATTAAAAGTTGTGCCATGATAAAAATGTCAGCTTTGGACTGAAAATACCATAACAATAAGAATGTTGATTGTAAATGATTAACAAAAGCATGAGTTTGAGAATACCTGCCTTGAATATTGCAGAGCCAGTATGAGCATCAACAGCACTGAAGACATCATCAAGAAGATAGATATCACAGTCTTGATATACAGCCCTAGCAAGTTGGATTCGCTGCTTCTGTCCTCCGCTAAGATTGATGCCACGCTCTCCAATCTCTGTTTGATCCCCATCCTCCATCATTTCCAAGTCCTTGTCCAAGCAACAAACTCTCACAACTTCACTGTACTTTTGTCTGTCCATTAGTGATCCAAACAGGATGTTATCTTGGATTGTCCCATTTTGAATCCATGATGTTTGGGCTACATACGCAATACTTCCATTAACCCGAACCTGCCACACAAATATATATCAATATATCAATATCACTACCTCTATAAAAGTTGAAAAAAGCCGCACTGTTTACATGCTGTAAATAATACGGTTTAGCTCAGACTCCTTGTAAATGCAAGAAACCATACCGTCCCAGATATTTTGTGCATCTCACCAAGAATGGATGCCAGGAGAGAAGATTTTCCAGAGCCCACGGTCCCAACAATAACTGTAAGTTCACCCCTTTTTATATCCAAACTAATATTTTTCAAGTCATAGTCCCCTTTACTATCATCATCCCAGCTAAAGATGCCATCTTTCACCTCCACAGCAGTTTGCCCCCCACAACATTCCTCCTTCCCTACTAAATTATCTGATAATTCCTTACTCATCATATACCTATCCAATCTCCCAAGTGATACCATTGCTTGTGAAAGAAAGATCATTGATTGTGGAAACGTCCTAAGAGGGTCCTGTAATATTTTAAAGATTGTTGTTGTGGTGAAAACTGTCCCTGCATCAAGTGGAACTCCAAGCAAAATTGCTGTCCCAAATGTTAGAGTTGATATCAATAGTGGCGTGATCCACATCACAATGATATTCCCAGACATTGAATACATGAACTTAGAAAGCCAACTAAATTCTGACTCACGAAAACCCATAATCCTCCTATTGAAATGCTCTTCCCATGCTTGGAACTTGATCACTCTCACGTATTTAGCATTTCATTCACAGCTTTCATTCTTGAATCACGATTCTTCATCACATTGAATTGGAATTGATTGTTTCTTTGAGTACCAAACACGACAAACACAAGAGCACCCACAATTCCAAGTAAAGCTGTGACCACAGTCACACCTAAGTATTTGTAAAGCAGGAACAAGGAAATTCCAACTTGAATTGGCATCATCCAGATAAAATGAAGCTGCGGCATCATATCAGAAAGTTGTTGTGCATCCACAGCCATGTAATTCACTATAGTTCCAATACTGTGGTCTTGCCGTGAAGAACATGACAGCCTTAGCCCTTTCTTGTACAATGAGGTAATGAGACTGCATCGGATTAGCATTCCTAGCTTCTGACAATTGAAGTTGAAATGGTGAACAGTTAAAACTTCTGTGAATTTTGCAATGACAAGGATTAGCACAAGGTAGTACCCTTCATATATAGAGCTTCTCTTACCTCCCGTGAAATCAACGAACCTTTGGATGAGAACTGGACCTATGAACACAACACTGAGTTTAACAATTGCAAGGAAAGCAATGAATACTACTTCCTTCCAGAAGCATCGAAGCAATGTGGTTAGAACAGGATGCTTCGACCTTTCTTGTGGCTTAGGCCATTTCTGTTCAAACAATACTGACATTCTTTCAGCTCTATGTTCTTGCGAAAGTGACGGGACTTCATCCATCTTCAAAGATGACTTGTACCCTTTACTCAACAATGGATTTATCCATAACCAGAAGGCCTTGGATGCTAAAGAAGCTGAGGCAAAACCAGTGACGTTGGATTTGATATCAGTTTCCCTATCGATTAGAGACTCAGTTTCCTGTGAGAAGCTGATGCCTGTAGATCCTTTAATGGCAACAAGAAAAAGCAAAAGTGATGGAGGAAAGGAAATGAAACAAACGGTATCATCGTTCTTAAACTCAAAGCCACCTTCATGCTCAGAGACCAAACGTACAACCCCAGAAACGACGAACAAAGAAGTGACAATGAAGTTTGCAATCCAAAAGATTCGAAGTGGTATTGGGTGAGAAACAGCTTGAAATCTCTTTTCATGAATGATTAAGATCGTGAGAACCACATGAGTCAGAGCTTGAACTATCCAAAACGATCCATCAACTAGCTTCCATGAGACTTGAGCGTCTCTTACAAATGCCAGAAAACTCGCAACAGCATACAATATAGTCAAAGCAACCGTCACAATTAGAGTTAGCTTAAACCACATTGTTGTTCTGATGAAAGCACTGTTATGTCTGATAAGAGGCTTGTCAAGTTCTGATGTCGGATCGCCGCCATTAGTGGTGAATTTGGAAGAGAGCTTCTTGATGGCAAGCACGAAGAGAACGAGGATGAGCATAGCATCAATGGCGGACCATAGGGCTCTCTGAAAACATGGAGAGAGGAAGAAAAATTGTAGCCATTGAGGTAGAGTTGAAAGGAACGTAACTCCTGGGGCTCGTTTTACAGGGGAAGAACACGAGAGGGAAGTGATCCAAGTTGCAGAATTCATTGTCTCTCTGCACGAAAGACGAAAAACCAGAGTAAATGATTAGAACTTAACCGGGATTGCAACAACTCTGGAATTAGAACTCACAACAAAAATAACAAAGCCATAATATGGAGACAAGAAGAAAAGTTAGAATGGCAGAGAGACAAACGAAGGGAGCTTTTTATGGCAGTGGCTTGTCAATTTTCTTTTTTTGGTAGAAAATTGATTGTTGTGATTGAAGTTGTCGTTAGAATACTATAGTTCAGATGATGATTGATTGGAAGTTGTTGGGTGACAATGATAGAAATACTGTTATATGAATTAATATTTTGATCATGTGATCTGTCGCCATTAGACACCTAGTGCTTTGTCATTTTCAAGGCCATAGGTATCTCTCATTCTTTTGGACAAGATTGGAGGGAGCCCTTAAGACACACTCGCTCCAATCCCTGTTAAGCCATTTCCAACTACTTTAATAGAATTAAGGAAATGCAGTAAAATTATTAATTTTGTTTGAAAATATAATAAATTTATCCCTATTTAAATAAAAAAAAAACTAAATTTGCATTAAATTCTCTCTTATAATTAATACTCCATGGTCTTATATTAAGGACAAAAAATGATTCTAGAAGGTGGCTCATAATATTGATAATCTCTGTTTGAAATATTTAATTATTCCGCTTAACTAACTTTTTTTTTTTTTCGGCCAATACCCACTTAGCTAATTCTAAACCAATATTTCAGGCTTGAGTAAACTGGATTGTAGTCACTGGATATCTGTGTCTCATTATTATGGGTTAACATTTTTGTGTGAGAATGCAATAGGTGCCAAGGGGAAGCAAGCAGAAGTTTGAAGCTTGACTTATAAACCTCAAGTTCTATTTTATTTTGTGCTTAACATGTGTAATTGCTAGTTTAGGGCTCCATCTCATTTGAATACTTTTGATTAACTTTTGTATAATTGTTACCACTAGAAGTGCTCTTAGTAGAAGCCTAAAGCCATAGGATATTATTGCATGTGGTTAGATTAATGACTTTAAGTTGGGATTATTTATGCTGAGTTTACAATGTCTTCGTTTTTTTTCATGATTTGATAATTGGACTTCCATAAGGTATGCATGTATTGGGCTACCAATCTACCCTCTCCCGTTGATTTTTAACTAAGTTGTATGTTCAAATACATCTATTTTTATCATCTTTAATTCTAATTACCATGTGAATTCTTTTTTTATCATGGTAGAGATTTATATTGTTTGAATGTTGTCAATAGTTAGTTGTCCTAACAACACCACCACCTACCTTTCTTGAAAAAAATCTTGAGTTCCAACCTACTGTTAACACAGTTCTATGACGAAGAATTAGGGATATTTTTTTAGAAAAAAAAAAGCATGTTAAAATATTTATAATCGTGGTAGATCTTGCTATATATGATTTAATCTTTTATACTATGATAATTATTTTTATTGATTTTTATCTTCTCATTATCATGATAGTTTTGTTAAATTATGATTGTAAAATTAACATATTACATTATATCCTAAGACTTGAAATTGATTTGAAAACATGTATCTTAGTATCACGAAACATGATAAAAAAATGAAAAAGAAAAAAAGTAGGGGAAATTATATTTATTTCAAGTTTGTGATGGGATAAATTTTCATCTCTAATCCATCAAAAATTCAACTGCTACTTAAGTGACAGCATTTAGTGATGTAATGTTCTGCTGCTAAAAATTTTGTTGATATTCCAGCACTAAACCATCACAAATAATTAGAGATGAAATTTATTGACAAAAAAGTCCGCCACTAATTTTTAAGATTTCTTATTCCAATTTTTTGACAAAATTCGCAACAGAACCTTTTCCATTATAATGTTGTTGTTTAATAATTTGTTATTATGGTACGAATAATTTAAGGGTAAAAAATAAAATTAACACCTGAATAATAGATCCAAAAGTGTTTGAAACTTTAAACTCATTTTTTATATAATTTTTCTCTTTAAGTTTTTAAAACAATATAATTTGACCTCTATCGTTAGCAAAAGTCAACTTTAAACGTTAGTTAATTAGAAAAGAGTTAATTAGAAAAGAGTAGAAAAGGATATCAGAAATTACAAAAGAACAAATTGACCAATAAGAATTTCTTCATCCGTTTTTTGTAATTTTTGTAGTCATTGTCTATAATTTTTGTGTCCTCAATGTAATTTTTTAGTGCTTCTTGTCAACTAACAATTTTATTTTATTTTCATTAACAAAAGGGGTTAGCTTATATTATTTTCAAATTTTAAAAAAACATTACATCAATAACAAATTTAAAATCCCCAACACTCCTAGACATATAATTTAGAAGTTCATTTGCTCTTATAGCCATAATTTGGTGATTATAACTTATTATTTTAAAATATTAATATAATAATAATATTTAATTGTATACTGAATTATTATTATTTAAAAATAAACTAAAAAATAATTAAACAATAAAAAGTATTATATATTATCTGGATAAAAATTATAATATAATTTATAAAGATAATTATAATTTCCAATAAAAAATATTTTTAAAAAATATAATACAAATAATTATTATACATGAAAATTATTTATTATTAAAGGTTCAAACTTGGCCAAACTAGGTTCGACAGTAATGTTTTATTTGGTAGGCTCAAAAGTTTTTGACGGGTTAGCGGAAAGTATTAATTCCGTCACAATTAAAAGAATAAGTAAATATTATAATGACTATAAAAATTAAATCGAAGGAAAACATTATATTAAAATTATACAAATGAGCGATTAGAGTTTTGAGGACAGGGGTAAAACGCAAATATGCATCTAGTGGGGGATAGAATAAGTATAACTGATCGGTCTGAGTCGAAGAAGAGCGCGCGGATGGAGGGAGAAAATGAAGAAGGAACAGAAGAGAGGAGGGTAAAATGAAATTGGAACAACCTACAATTTTGAAAGAATAACACATAGGTTTTAAAGAAATTAATTAATTTAAAGTAAGCTCAAAGTGTTAAATTTTAAATATTTAAAAGTTCAACTTTTAATTTTGCAGTTTTATTAAAATAAATTTATAATTTATTTTTTTAATTTTAATATAATTGAATAATAAATAAATTTATTTTTTCTGTTAAAATTTAAAATATAAATTACAAATTTATTATAATGAAGTTAGCAAAATTAAAAGTTAAACTTAAAATTTTTTAAAGTTTGACAATTTAAAACTTACTTTAAATTAATTAATTTTTTTTGATACCTATCTATCATTCACCTTACAATTTTCCTCTCAAAATAACACCATGGAGGAAGAGAAAATTTTGGAAGAAAATGTGGTGAATCCATTATTCTTTTGGTTTTTTTTTTTTTAGCTCATGAAAGCGAATGAATCCACACTTCACTTTCTTCACTGCTTTTCCTTTCTCTCATTTTTTATTTTTCTGTTTACTTCTCACATTTTCTTTTTTTTTTTTAAGTTGTCCGTCACTTATTTTCTTTTTATTTTATTTTTGATAAAGATATATTTTTATTTTTGAAATATTTTTTTAAAAAACACCCAACACCCTAACATTTTTATTCGAGTAAATTTTTTTCCTTAAAGTTACTAGAGTGAAGCATTTTTTTTTCATCAAATTTTTTAACAATCAACATTTAATATTAATGTTAAAAATTTATTGAAAAGGATGAAAATATTTCATTTCAATGACTTTAAAAATAAAATTGCTTCAACAAGACATTAAAGTGCTAGTTGCTTCTTAAAATATATTTTGGGACAAGGATGCACCTTAAACCTTTTAGAATTGGAAATCATTTGGTATGATTGAATGGTTTTTGATAAAATTAGAATCAGAATCGGAATTAGAATTGGAATCAGAATTGAAATAGAATTGGATTACAAAAATATATTTGGTATGTCAGAAAAATTAGATGAAATTCTTACATTATTTTTGTTTGGTACGTAAGACATGGAAAATAAATTATACTTAAAAGACAAAAATATCCCCTATATAGAAATTAAAATAAAACATAAAATTGTGTTTCAATTTCCTTATATATTTTATATGTTAATGAAATATTATTTAGACGATAGATATTATATATAAGTAAAATATTTTACAAAAAATATTTTAATTTCCTCACATTTTTAGTATATAAATAAAATATTAGATAGATGATAAATATTATATATAAATAAAATATTTCATAGAAGAAATATTATAAATACATATATCGTATTATATTTTACACATACACACATATATTATAATTAGGTGTGGTCATTTTTGAGTGTGGTTAGGGTTATATATTTTTAGAACAAAATTGTCTTTCTATAAATTTTATAAGGGTAAAAATATTTTAAAAGTCACAATTATATGGAATTGCCCTTGATTCCATAACATTAAATAAAGAATCCAATTCAACCTATTTTCATGGAATTGAGATTCTTGAAAATTATGATTCATATCTACCAAACATTACTTTATTCTGATTCTTTTTCTAATTTCATTTTCATCTCCACAATTTCAATCTACCAGCATATTGTTCTAACAGTTTCTTCCGTCCTCATTGTCTAAGCGAAGGAAAATACATTTTCCCCCGAACTGTTTTCTCCTCCTTTTCTCTAGCTCCCGCTTCTCTCCTCTAAGCCAACAATAGCATGCGAGAACAAAACTCTCTTCACATAAGCTTACACACACCTTCCCAACACAAGTTTAATACAAAGATGAACACCATCGTTCAATGATTGGAAAACAAACCCGTTGTTAAGTGATGAATTCACGGAAAGCAAAGGGGAAAGAAGCATGTACAGTTTAATCAACATACAAGTGTGTCAAGTGTGTTAAGTGTTTTACGTTTTACCAAACTCAACTGATTATCAAACGCAAACATTATAGGAATAAAAGTCTAAGCAATTACAACATAACAGTAAATTACTTTCAAACAGGCTAGCCTTTTTCTGTATATACAGCTGTGATTTTGCATAGTCAAAAGAGAAACCGAAAGAAGCTAATAGAGGAAAGAAAACAAATGGACTTACAAGTTGATGGTGAAGCTTCTTCAGAACTGAAACGAGTCAAACAAGACGATAAAAGTTAGCAGCAAACAAAGGAAAGGGAAGGGAAGAGTTGGATGTCGAGGAAAAGGTGCAAACGACGCGAGACTGAAGAGGAAAACAGCCAATCTTATGAGAAGAGAGAGAGAGAAGATGTAACGTGTGCTGTGAACTTGTGGATGAAATCATGCCATGAGGCTGAGACTGTGACACTTTCAGAGATTGTCAGAAAAATAAAGAGTAGGTATAAATTTGGTGTGAACACTGAACAGGGGAATTGGTCTGGGAGCAACGGTGCTTGTCATGTGATAAAAAATTTAGGCGGTCTAAATTTTTAATTTAAATGATCCAGAGTCACACGTTTTATTTTGTTTTAATTTAATATTTATTAGAATAAAAATTAAAATTTTTAATAAATCTACCTTATTAACCATATGAGTAATATAGATTTAATTTAGACAGTTTAATATTTATTTTTGATAAAAAAATTAATGAATATCTACTTTAATAATAAAATTTTTAAATTTTTACAAATTTATTGTCCAGATGCACACGGAACAAATTAAATTTAAGGTTAATTTTTTTTTAAAATTTTTAAATTTCATTATTTTAAAAAATATTAATATTAAAAATAAAAATAATATATAAACTAACACTGTAAAAAATTTAAAAAATTTGTGAGCTAAAAATTTTAAAATTGAAGCAGTTCTAAATAAATTTAGAAAGAGTTCTAAAAATTATTAATATTGAATTGGACCATAAAATGAAATATATATTCTCTCTAATTTTATTTATAAGACACTTTTTAAAAATATTTTTTTTCTAAAATATAGATATTTTATAATAATTAAACTATTTTTTTCTTAATTTTATCCTTTCTTAATTAATGTAAAGTTATTTAATATAATTGTATTATTATTTAAAATTTAGGATAAAAATGATAGTATATACTATTTTTTAAGATGTTAAAAAATTTTTTTAATATATTAAAAACATTTAAAAGTGTATTAAAATAAGAATAGAAGGAAGTATTGTTTATATTAATAATAAAACATTTTTTTATAATTTTTTATTTTTTATTTGATTACCCTTCGGATAAGCTGCACCTAAACCAGACCCGTGAACAGGCCTCATTCATTTACGAGACAAAGGGGCCGCACATGGCAAGCGCACAGGTCGAGATCACTCATCACTGTTATTTAAGGCTACCTGTCCTATTCTATATGTTTTTAATAACAAATGCTTCAATTATTTTTACCCGGGCAAAGTAAGGTTTTCGGAAAAAAATTTTAAAAAAATTAGTTTTAAATATTTATTCAAGCAATTCTAAACAAAAATCCTAACTAGGCAATTGGTTATCAACATGGTACCTGGTATTTATACATTGAAACCAAGATCAGGCTAACTCCATGTAAAAAGACTAGGTTTTGTTGCTTTTATTGAAAAAATCTAATAAATTAAAAAATAAAATAATAAATAAATTTTATATATAAAATAAGGTTCATCTAAAATATTCCTTTGAAAAATAAAAAAAAATATAATTTTAAATTTCTACATTTTACTCACATCTCCTTGTACTTTTTAAGTGATGAATTCTCAGAAAGCAAAAGGGAAAGGAAGCATGTACAATTTAATCAATTAGGATGTGTGTGTGTCAGTTTGTAGTGTTTTATGTTTTACCAAACTCAACTGATTATCAAACGCACATACTATAGCAACAAAAGTTTAAGCAATTACAACATATAACAGTAAATTAGTTTCAAACAAGCAAGTCTTTTTCTGTGGGTACTAAGAATTATATATATATGTATGTATGTATGTATGTATGTATGTATATAGCTGTGATTTTGCATAGTCAAAAGAGAAACCGAAAAAAGCTAATAAAGGAAAGAAAACAAATGGACTTACAAGTTGATGGTGAAGCTTCTTCAGAACCGAAACAAGTCAAACGAGACGGTAAAATTTAGAGCAAACAATGGAAAGGAAAGAGGTGGATGTTGAGGAAAAAGGCATGAACGACATGAGACTGAACAGATGAATAGACAACCTTATAAGAAGACAGAGAGAAGATGTGTAATGTATGTTATGAACTTGTATTGTGCGGATGAAGTTTTGCCATGAGGCTAAAACTGTGACGCTTTCAGAGATTGTCAGAAAAATTAAGAGAAGGTATAAATTTGGTGTGAACAGGCCGTTACATTTACGAGACAAAGGGACCGCACGTGGCAAGCGCAAAGAACGAGTTCACTCAACAGTAAGACACTGAATCACATGCTAGTAATCCAAAATTGAATTAGAGGTGAAATTAATAACAAATTAATCATAATTAAAATAAAATAAAGATGTATTTTTTCTCCAAAAATAGTTTTTTAAAAAGTAATCAATATTTTAATATTTTATTAGAGTAATTTTATCCTTAATGTTATTAATAACTTTTTTGTCAAATTTTTTAACAATCAATGCTTAAGGTCAACATTAAAAATTTGATAGAAAGGATAAAAATATTATATTTTGATAATGTTAAGGGCAAAATTGCTTTAACAAAAATGTTAGGGTGCTGAATACTCCTTAGAAGATACTCCATCCGGTCCTATTTATAAATTATTTCTACTAATCTCATCAATACCAATACAATAAAAGTATAAAGAATAAAAGTAAGTACAATTCCAAATATGACCGTATATAACAAATCTAAAAAGTAATATCCTATTATCTTTTCTCTCTCATGAAGGGTAATTTTAAAAATATTTTTTAAATATTACTTAAAAAGACGCACCATGACTTATAAATAAAATCAAATGAATCTTTTAAAATGGGACTTATAAATGGGACAAGGGGGAGTACTTTAAGGATAAAAATACACATTTATTCATTAAAATAATATAATTTGAATAAAGAAATATTAATTATAAAAATATTTTATAATTAATGTCTCTTCATTTTTTGCCTTCTTGAGTTTTTTTTTTTTTACTTTTTTTTGAAATCTCAAAATGTGGAGAAGCCTGACTAACCCAACTAACTTGTCGAGCTGTCTTATTGAAATTAGGTTGGCTAAGTTATATCGAATCATTAGTTGATTGGGATAAGGGAAAAAATAAGACCCATAAAGAGGCCGATTCCCAAGCTGACCAAGCCGGTCGTTTTTCCATTCAATGCTTGACGCTGCTATTTAAGGCTACCTGTCCTATTCTATTTTTTTAATAACAAATGCTTCAATTATTATTACTCGGGTAAATAATGGTTTGTAATTCAGAGAATAAAACAATAAAATATTAAAAACGTGTCGTGCAGGAGTAAATTTTTCAGCGGCTCTGGGCAAAAGATTGTAGTTACTGAGTCCCGGATTTTTATTTTTCGTCAGGAACAATTATGTGCGTCGTGTATGATTCTAGATTCCAGAGCTCGAAATAAAAAAAAGAATTCTAGATTCTAGGATCACGGGTGCAAGAAGATAGGGTTTACAAGGTCATACTTTATTATAACCTTTTAATCCCGGATGATATGATAATTTAAAAAAAAGTTATACTAAAATAAAAAATAATTTTAAAAAAATAAAATTTTATTAATGATGTTTTTTTTAATATTACTTTTAAACTGAAGAGAAATTTAAATTAATATTTTTGCATAATAGTTGAGTTTGTAAAAATATTTTTAAAAGTTTATAATTTTGTTTTGTAAGAATAAGTTTATAAAATGTTGCTATTGTATTTTATTGATATATGTCATCTTATCTCAAATTATTGTCTTATAATTTTCACGAAGGAAGTATTTAATTTAAGGGTGAAGAAGTATATTTATTCTTAAACTATTTTTTGAGAGCTACTTGGTATCTTATATTATAAAAAAATGTAAATAATTTATGAACTAAAAAAATTGCAGCGCCTACAACCTTCCATCCATGATGACTAACATCAATTTATCCCAACTTAGTAGATCCACGTTGATCCAATCACTCATCAATTGTGTCTTATTTCTTTGGCCGTATTTGGTATCTAGGAATTCTAAAGTTGGAAATGAAATCAGGCAAAAAATTCATTATAAATTGTATTTGGTTTGAAATAATCATAATTCTTTGAAATCCTAGTTCCATCAAAATTTTCAAATTTGATTCCATCATCACCCCAAGAATCCATTCATGGAATCCATTTGTTTTTTTTCAATTTTACCCTTTCTTAATTAATATAAAAATATTTAATATAATTGTATTATTATTTAAAGTTAAAGGTAAAAATAAAAATACATATCATTTTTATGATATTAAGGAAAAGTTAATTTTTCTTAATATGCATGAAATAATTGAAAGTTTTTTATAATATGGATTGAAAGGAGTATTTATTAAAATTATCCCAAAATTCAATCTTCATGCCAAAAATAATTTTAAAATATATTTTTGTTTTGATTCTGATTTTAATTTTGATTTTAATTTTATAAAAAACTCTTTTATCATGTTAAAAGGACCTCACTAACTCGCTTGATCTCTCTATCTCTCTCTTCCTATCTTACATCCCCCTCTCTCCTTATTTGTCTCTCTTTTTTAAGGTGGAACTCAACTTTTCTCTCTCCTTCCCTGGAAGGGAGGGAAGGGAGGGAAGGAAATAGAGAAAGATGCAAAGGATGGAAATGAGAAGATAAACCAAGGAAATAAGAGAGAAGATGAGCTTGTTAAATGCATGTCGAGTCTACAATTTAAAATAAACGACTGTTTGTTAAAATTTGTTGAAAGGAAATAAGAGAGAAGATGAGCTTGTTAAATGCATGTCGGGTTTACAATTTAAAATAAACGATCGTTTGTTAAAATTTGTTGAAAGGTGTTATATGTGATGACTTTTTTCAATTTCTGAAATAATTTATATTAACTCATAATATAAGATATTTAGTAGTTATTAAAAAAAAATAATTCAAGGATGAATATAATCCTTAACTCATAATTTAAAAAGAGGTCATCAACGGATGATGAGAAATGAGAGTAAAAGAAAGAGTAACATTTACATGTTTTATATCAAGGACAGTTACTATAAAATCTCATAAAAAATATAAATATATTAAAATCCTATGAAAGGTTAAAATATTATTGAATTTCCAAATTTCTTTTAAAATTTACTTATTGTGAACAGTATTTTATCTGAACATTTTTAATTAAAAAT